CGTTCGTAGAGGAAGGCTCTCTTGCATTTTGTGCAGTAACAAGAATAGTAGATGGTACATTTTTCCTAATGGTTGAATCTGCATCAGCTTTCCAGCTCCCTGTTTGTTCCATTCAGCCCAGCTTTTTCTCACAGAGCTGTTCCAGTTTATGTGGATTTCTGACTAGCGATGCTGACCTCTGGTGTCTCATACCCTGAAACTGTCCTGAGACACCCCTGGGCTCGCCAAAAGTCATCTTGCTATTGCAAGCCATTTTGCTGCGTGAGACCTCGTCGGACCCAGCCGCCTTCCTGAGAGGGAACAGGATGCTTTTCTGGTTTGTCATCTCTGAACTTCTTTTTTTTTTAAAGAAACAAAGAAGTCTTGTTAGAGAAAATGAAATGGAAGCCGTTTCCTCTTCTGATTAGCTGCTAGTAACCAAATTTTCTACTTCTGTGGAGCAGTAACATTTACAAAAATAAAGGGGATTCAGGAGATTGCCCAGCTTACGGTGTTAGTGATGTTGTCCATATGAGCTCCAGGGGCACAAATCCTTTTGTGCTCCCCAAAGTCATCCGAGGGCACCGAGCTGCAGTGCTTGGGCATTCACAGTGGAAACCAAGTCACTAAAACAAATAGTTTTGTTCTGAACTGTTTCACAGATACCACTTGCATTTCCAGCAAAAATTGCATGTCCATTTTATTTAGAGGACTCTCTACTACCCCATCGTGCTGCCTTTTTTTTTTTTTTGTAAATTAATTGAGGTTTCATTTTCATTTTCTGATTTTCATCATTTCAGTGTTGCCTTTTATATCTCAGCCTCTCAACAGTTGTAGGCGAGCAGCTGGTCAGCTCAGCCTTTGAAACTAATGAGCAGAATCCCTTGCTACTGACTTGACCGCTAAAGAAAATGCATCTATTAACCTCTCACATAACTAATATGTACAATTTTACAGCGTCTCTTTACATCAAATTTGTTTTACATGAGAACTGTGATATGACCTGCATGTCGAATGAACCAAGGTTTTGTTCACAAGCTGGTGCTTGCTTATTGGTGCAAAAAAGGGCTCCTCCTGGACCATGGCAATGGTACATACGATACTTGATCTAAATTACGATCAAAGGGGATAATTAGCATGAGTTATGCTGTATATTTTATGATTTTTAATGTTGACTTCTTATTTCCCCTGCAGCATTTTATTCAAATCACTTTGAGAAAAAAAAAAACAGAGCTCTCTCCAAGAATTTAAAATCTTACTATATTCATCTGCTGCAATTGGTACGTGACAAAATTAGAATATGTGACATTTGTTGGGGGCCTTTCAGAAAGAATAGCCACCCTCAGCTCTTCACCAGAGCCCTACACTGTAGTTTGTGTTAATTAATGTAGCACAAATTTCCTCTATTTCATTGTTATTTAATTGGATCAAAGGAGTGTCTCTCGTGGGAAAACTGAAAGACAGAGGCAGTAATAGTAGCTGTTCACTGGGAAATCAGTCACGTTGCCAAAGTCACATTTATTGATAATGAAGCATGTCGGCTCCTTTTTCTACATCTTGGGAATGTGGTAGATCAGACGTGTGTGTGCAGTGCATATGGAGTTGCAAAGGGATGTCTAGGTCTGCTTAAATTAAAACATATCTATAACTACCCAGTGTCAGTTCACGAAGATACATAAAGTGTTTGTAACAATTCAAACTGATTTGGGGAGTTGTATCTTCCATACAGTGCAGGTCAGTTTCTCTTAAAACTCCAGGAAGAAAATAATGACCATATTAAAAGTTCAGAATCACTGGTACTATTAATTTAATAGGTATAGAGGGGGGAAAGGATTTGGTAGAGCAGTTGCGTATATGTAAAGGTTATAAAAAGAGCTGAAAGGCCAGATAAGATGTTCTAGAAGTTCATCCAATGCTATGAAATGGCTCCTTTCCATTCAGGAACATGTGAATAAAGTGGCCTTCGCCTTCTCATGCAGCTGTACCCTCTTTCTCACAACATTCAGGAGCATCTGGACTTCCCTGTGTACCCTTCCTTCCCCTGCACGCTGCTGTAGTCCTCTCTATGATGCGATGATGGAGGCCCTTGAAGTGTAGAGACAATAACACGTGTTTCTTTAGACCAGCCTACATAAAAAGTTTGACAGTAGATGGCTTTGGATTCTTATTCTTCAAGGTACAGTTATGACCTGGAAGGAACTTCATATATTGAAAAGAGTGAATTTCTAATGTATCAGGTAATAGAAATGAGAGGAGCAGGCTCATGATGTGAGAACCAAAAAACCCACCAACCACACACCTTGAATACGTGGCAGCAGTGAGCGTTTTCATGCTCAGCGTTTTCATGTGCAGTGGGATGTTGACCTCCATCACGTCGCTCTGCAGCTCTCGTTCCTCACTTTCCTGCTCTTCCCCATGCTGCTCCAACTTTTTGTCCCCATCCATATCACCACTGAAGACTAAAATACACCCCGATGTGCAAAGGGAGCCCTTGCTACGTGTTGGTCAAAGACAGAGACCACTGAGTTGTGGTTGCTCTAGCAGAGACTACGTGTTGAGATGGCTGCTGTGGTAGAGGAGGTTCCTGTGGCCACTTGGACCCTGGCACAATCCGTCTCAAATCCGGCCTGAGCAAGTGTCACAGCTGCTCTCGTATTGCCCGGAGAGGGGAACCCACAAAATGCAGCAGCCCTGTCTGCTTTGGTGGCAAAACGAAATGTCAGCAGCGAAACTGTGAGCGGGACTTTGTGGTGTTGGGTTGGCATTAGGTTGTGGGTATTCCGTTTGTACATTTGTTTTGGGGTTTTGGTCCAAGCTGATTTTCCTAGAGACTTGGGCTATGATTTTAAGGCATTTTCTACTGAGTCAGTGAGTTTCCTGATCAGTGGTTTAATGTTTCATTTTCAGGTTTTGTGGGTTATATCAGGATTATTTTTGTAGATAAGGATATCATAATGGCTAAAACTACCACACTAGGAGTTTCTGATGCCTTTTTTTTTCCCCCTGAAAAGCTTGCACAAAAGACAAGAAAAGAAATAAGCATTTACCAAAGAGATGGTGCCAAAGACTGATCACTTAGACCTCTATTGAACAGAAAATTGATTAACATTGGGGGAACATTCAGAGGGGATTCCTGGAAAGTAAAAGCTTCGTAGAATACTTTTGCATTCTATATTTTGTGGTAAAATAATTCCTAGCAGATGAGAGCTATGGAGAAGCTCCCAATATAGAGAGATCAGTCCATTATTGCTTGTCATGGGGGTTCTTGCACTTTTTTTTCTGTGAAGCATCTGTTATTGGCTTCTGTCCGAGACATAACATGGAATGGCAGGGACAGCAGGTCCGTCGAATCCTGTATTTCCAAAGTGTGGCATTATTACATTTAGATCTGTGCTGGAATTAGAATGCAGGTATTGAAGTTCTTGTAGTTGGTAAATGACTCATATTCTCAATAGTACTTCCAGACTGCAAAAACAGCTATTTAATTTTAGAAGAAGTGGTGTGCTCAAATCACTTCGTACTCTCATTCTGCACCTTTTAAGGATGAACTAATTGATGACATACATGGTGTAAAACTCCGTAGGTTTCTGAAGAGTGCATATTGATATGTATTGATTGTATCAACTCAAGTCCAGCTCTTTTAGCTGTCATTTAAAAAAGGAAGAGCTGTGTTTATTTTTATAAAAACCCAGCCATGAGGTGTTTACCGAAGAGAAATGTTTCACTGTGCAGTGCTTCTGACACCTGGGTATGCATATCACATACATATACAAGTGAATTGTTGCACGTACATATATCACATACATATACAAGTGAATTAAGTGCCTTTATTTTTATTTATTTAATTGTACCCAAGCAGTTTATAGGTCAGTTTTAAGCTTTTTGCGTGGGAGAGGGGTCTCCTCACACGGGAGGATGCGGCGCGGCCTGCTCGGGCCTTCCCGCCCGCTGCAACCAGGCGTCACCATGACTGGGCCGCAACGCGGCCCGAACTGCCGGTACCCCCGGTACAAGGACCGGGGCCTCTGCTCTGCTCGGTGCTTCGGGGCAAAAACGTTCCCCAAACGGCAGGGAATGCGCTCTGCGCTGCGGCCTCGCGCTCTGGAAGGCCTTGGCAGCTCCCTTCATGGCGCTCATCTCCAGAGCTTCCTCCAGAGGCCCTGCCTGGGCCCTTCGGTCCCATCCCGACGCAAGGAAGATACTTTTCTCCCGGACCGTGTGCACGACGCAGGCCCGGTAGATGATTTTAGGCTTCGTTTGTAGGCATGATTATTTCAAGGTAGAGGTTGGGTTGAAGTCTGTTGGGTGGAAGGGGATAGCAGATGCCGCGTGGCAACGTTAGCCCCAGGTAAGGGAGAGGGCCTGGCAGCTGCGGTTCTGCTTACACTGCCTTCACTGTCACTTCTTCGCCAGATGGAGAGGGAGGAAAGTGTCGGAATGGAAAAATATGTCATGTTAGCAATGCCATGCCTCTCCTAGATTCCCCCGCCAGGCCTCCTTGCAGGAAATTTTAAACAACAGGTTCCTGAAAGTGTCTGGGAATTAAAAGTCCAAACCTTCACGGCATATGGCAAAGCAGCCCGTTAACTTTCACCTTGAATTTAGCATCTCAGGCATGAATCTCTGCAGCAGGGAGAGTTTGTGGTGTGAACACGTGTGTATTTGCGTTCCTGCAGTGGATATGGAACGGCTGGAGGAAACGAGCGTAAACACTTTATTTTTATTTTTATTTTTTGCATGGTGACTCTTTTCTTTCTGTATTGGGCCACCCTGGGCCACTCAGCTTGATGTGTAGGGTGGACCTTCTTATATACATTACAGGTGGATTTTTACCTTTAGGAAGAAAGGCTTTATCGGTGTGGCCTGCTAAAGCAGATACCAGGGGTGTTCTCTAGGCTTTCCTATGGGAAAGCAAAGTGGTCGGCTGTTTTCCCCTTTCCTGATAGACCACACTTTGTAGTTTCAGTTTTAAAATCAGCAACTGTTTTCCTTTAGGTTTCAGAGTGAGATGGTCTTTAAAAAACAAAACTGAAACGCAAGGTGGAAATCTCGAAGAGGATGAAGATTATTCAAGGTTAAACACAAACTTTTCAGGAAATGAAGTACAGGAATTCAGGTTGAGGCACATATCACACCAGAGGCAACTCTAAGTAGTAGCTGGGGTGGGGAAATGTTTCAGCAGGTCTATGAAAGTGGTAACGTAAATGGTGTTTTTTAGGTCATGAGGCTAGTGCGGTTCAGTCCCGTCCGTGTTTCGGGGAACGGCTCCGTTTCCGGATCGGGTTCAGATCTCCCTGTCGTTCCTCTGACCTGGCTCCGTGGGCGCTGCCGGAGGAGCCGCGCGGTCTCCTGCCTCCATCCAGTGGTTTGTGCAGCACGGTGCAAGCGCCACGTTTCGGGAAGCTGATTCGGGATGGAGATGGTGGGGAGCCGACGGGCTGCACAGTTTGCTTTTAAATACCATATCCTTTCATCTGTTTTCCAAGGGGAGCATTTTAGGGGAGAAAGTTTAGTATTGCAAGAAAATGTTCTGGTTTTTAGTTCTCTCATCACAAAAAGGGCACATTGGGTTAAGCTAAAAGATACATCTTCTTATGTGTCTATTAACCTGTTATGACTATACTGCCAAGAAGTGATTTTAGATGCCGTTCAGAGCGGGCAGAAACGGAAGAGAACTCTTTTTCCTAATTCTGCCTTCAGGGAATCAGTGCAAACCAGGTCCACACATCCTGAAATATCAGGATGCTGTCAAAATCAAGGGATTTGTAATTCTACTACTGCTTGCTTTTTAGGTGGAAAAAGACAGAATGGCCTAGCCAGCTTCTAGTAGAATTTGCCAAGATTGTGTTTTCCTTCCTTCTTCATCCCTTCGTTATTGTTTTTGTTGCAGTGGGAGAAACTACAGATGACAACAAGCGAGAGGAGGAAAATCGTCTGCTCCGTCACGTTCCACGTAATCGCCATCACCTGCGTGGTCTGGTCGCTGTACGTCTTAATCGACAGGACGGCGGAGGAAATCAAACAAGGCAATGACAACGGTGAGGATTTCATCTAGCTCCTTCAGTCCTGCTCATCATGCAAGGCGTGGGCTTGTGAGATTGCTGTGTAACCAGTCACTTTCTCAAGTATCTCCCTGCAAAACGTCAGATGGTTTAAGGAAGGAGTAGTGAACACGTTGACGCTGCCACTGCAGGGGGAGGCCCAGCTGAAACCTCTGCAATGGCCCAACTAGCCCCTTGGGCTCCCGTTATCCGGGTGTTTCCGAAGGTCTGGCTAAAAGAGGAGTGAAAACCCAAGCGCTCCGTGCACGTGTGTTTGGTTTGGTGTGGGAATGAACCAAAACCTCCCTTTTCCAATGGAAGCTCCCTGTGGCTGCCATGGCTCCAGCCGGGCTTCCCAGGAAAACTCAGAAAGGGGAGAGCACAGAGGGGGAAGGTAACATCTTGGAAAAGCTTTAGAAACAAATTACTTCTTAATTACCCGTAATAAAGCAGTCCCTGCGGATACCACAAGCAGGATTTCAGCCTCATTATGCCTACTGGGTACAGGAACTTCATTAACGCAGGAGTAATTTATTATTCAGCTAGTACAATTTATAGCAGAATAAGTCTATTAACTAAGCAGAAACAGTAAAAATGTGTTTCGTTTAGTTGCTTTAGCCCCGTTAAGATAGGGAAGGTCCTTTGTATATTGAAATTCAGAACACTGGTTTATTGCTTCAAAATATTCAGTTAAAAGGATAAAATTGAACATTCCAATGGAAGAATGGATTAAACTTTGTAAAATTGCTTGAAAGCTTTTACTTTAAGGGCCTAGCAAAGTACCAGCTCTTGGGTCATGCTTGCCTGAATTTTTCTTTTTGGAGTTAGCAGATTGAGCATGTCAGGTGAGGGCACTCAGGAAACAGCCCTCATGAACACATATATTCCCCAAATATTCTAATTTATTGTTTACGAAATCCGAGAAGTTAAAATAATGATAAATGTATTTGGGAGGGAAATCTGCGGGCTATATATGTTATACTTGAAAATATATCTTTAGCATAAATAGGTTTGTTTTTCCACTATGCTTAACAGTGTGGGTGAAGTATACTGATCTACAGGTTTCCACTTAAAATCTACATGAGACTTGAGCATATTCGGTCTCAAATGCTAATAGTGATGAGCACGGTGTTAAAGATGAGAAGAAAAGCAGCTCTACCTTTTTGATCTGAATTAACTTTGAGGATTAGGCAGTAGAGAGACGAAGGCCTCTGCCTTAGTGCTCCGCTCTGAAGTTAACCCGGGAAAGAAAGTGGGCAGAACTTGGTGCCTTCTTGTTAGAGGAGTATTTGATGCTGCTCCTGATGCTAACGGTCTGGTAATAGTGCATAACGTTAATAATCAGTATTTAAAACTATTTAAGGTGAATTATTTTTTCCCTTGTGGAAGCATTTGACACAAATAAGAAAGTGTGTACAAATCTAACCAATAAACCAATTCAGGCTTTTAAAAAACTGACCTCTTAAGCACAAGTACCAAGGTCTGCCCCTTGTATTTAATCTCTAAATGTAATGAGACGATGTGTTAGTTGCTTCTTAACTTTAGAAAATGCTGCTGCAGTTATATGGGTTAATTTAGGATTAGAATGATGTCCTTAATACAAGAGTATTTTATTCTGTTAAAGTTGTAAGACTACTTTTAGACCAAAGCAAATCGTCTTAACATTATTCATGTCGTACCAAGTTCTCATGATCTCTTCTGTAGTTTTTTGATGTTGGCATCCGTAGATTTCCCTGTATATACAAGATTGATGCAAAGGAAAACAAGCCCAGATGTACCCCGTGCTTTTTTACAGCCCAGGATATAAATTCTGCTCTTCTGATGCGGGTGGGCTCGAGGCCGGAGAGGCCAAGGCAGGCAGATCACTGAGCATCTTCCGACTGGATCTGCTACTCCCGGGCTTCACCATGAGCCTGTGGCCAGATAAATATTGTTGGGAACGTTGGTGCTGCACGGGCTGCAGGAAGCCTTGCTTTAGGCTTAAGTTAATAAAAACTTACTGCTAAAGACGTGTGCAATATTGCAAAGCGTCTTGTTATCTCAGTCTTGGTACGTGTGTTTTTACTTAAGCAAACCACGGACTATGGGGATATTACTAAAGAACAGCAAAATATTCTACTTCTCAGCTATATCAAGTCTAGCACTTCTGCCACGGCCTTGGCTTTCTCTCTTACCCAGGTTGTGGTGGCGTCAGTTGGTGTTTGGGGTCAGATGGCCCTTCCTTGCTGGCCTGCTGCTTTTCAGATGGGGAATCATAGAATCACACAATGCTTCAGGTTGGAAGGGACCCTAGAGGTCATCTCGTCCAACCCCAATGGGGCTTGGATGCTGTTTGCTGCTTCCTTCCTGCCCTGATGGCCTGTGGATCCCTGCGCATTCTTGAAGCACCGGTACCGCTAAAACTTTGTGTGCAGCTCTATATCCAACAGTGCTAGTGAGTGCAATCCCTTTCCCTCGCAGGTGTCCTCGAGTGGCCCTTCTGGACAAAGCTCGTGGTGGTGGCCATCGGCTTCACGGGCGGCCTGGTCTTCATGTACGTGCAGTGCAAGGTGTACGTGCAGCTGTGGCGCCGCCTCAAGGCCTACAACCGCGTCATCTTCGTGCAGAACTGCCCGGACACGGCCAAGAAGCTGGAGGAGAAGCTCCCGGACGCCAGGGAGGCCGTGCTCGTGCCCGGGGCACACACAGGTACCAGCTCGGCGGCCGCCGAGATGACGCCCGAGGTCCTGCCGGGGCGACGGGGCCGGCGCCTGCGCCCTGCGGAACGAGCGATGCGCAGCGGGAGCGGGAGGGACTGCGCGTTCTGCTTTTCAGTTCAAAACCAGAAACAAACAGAGCACCACGAACACCAGAGCCGCGGCACGGAGACGGGGCCAGCAGAGCAGCCCGGCGCTCTATGGAACGTGACCATTTGTGAAGTAGTTTCTCTGCTAGTCAGCCAAGTGTAGTGAGAGTGCAAGTGTAGGAAGTGCAATAGAGAACAAGTTCAACAGACACTGCCAAACCAATGTGACAAGGGGACTTTTCTTTTTTTTTTTGAAAAAAAAGGAGAGCTGGGAAAGTAGAACAGACCTAACCATTTTGTTTACAGAAAACAAAACCCTCTCATCTGTTTGTTACTACTAAGGGTCGTATTTACTCGTTATCTTCTCAAAGATTCTCCTCCAAACACCACCAGGCCCGTCCTGTGTGTTAACCGGACAGACACACACAGAGCTGCAGCCCAGGGTGTTTGAAGCACTTGAGGGGACCGTTGTTTTTGAGTATGTCTGAGTTTGTGAGAGGAAGGGATTCCAAGCAGTACAACCTCCTGCCTCTGGGACCTACAGCACTTCCTAAACTACAGCTGCTGGGTGGGAGGAAAGAGAAAAAAGAGCAGGGGGAGGGAGAGGATTTGGAGATACCCATCTGGAACAGCAGCTCGGCTGTTTATTTGACTTTGTAAAAGCGAATTCGAATTCTCCTTCATAAACTTAGTATATAAAGTTTTAAAGTGAAGCTATAAGCTAAAAAGGCCGTTTGCTGCAGAAGCACATAAATTGAAATGGAATGGCATTAAAGGTCTATGAAACAAAAACAAATAGGGAAGATGGAAGCTTTTTTTTTTTCATGAGACAGAAGCATAGGTGTAAGAGAACATAACTAGTAAGAGAATTTTAGTTTTTATTTCCCTGAACTGACTGAAAAGTAAATGGTTTCTCTCTGTACAATGGCAAACTTGAGGTGTTAGGGACGGAGCAGTTCAGCAGTTTTTTTGTTTTAAGCATCTCATGTAAAAATGAGGCGTGAATAGCATTAAAAAGTGCAATAGATAAATGAATGTAGATATAAAACCGTGTCCGACAGGGTGAACTATGTAACAAACCAATTTTGTGATTGGTTTCTCCTACCTGTGGTGCGGCCCATCAGGACCCGGTGCCAGCAGCGACTCGGAGCTGCTCCCTGCAGGCCGGGACAGGGCTGGAACCTGCACGGAGCCAAAAGAGCTGGAGGCTCCGTTCTGACCGAGCAGGGGGCCAAGGGGCGGCGGGGAAGGCAAGGAACCCGCAGCAAAAGAGCCAGAGAAAGGTGACCAGGGACACCCCTGGTTCATGCGCAGGGGTATCTGCCATAGCTGGCAGAGTCTTGCAGAGAAGTCTTACAGTTTCTGAGGATAAATTGACTCATTCGACACCCCGTTTTCTGATATTAAATAACAGAATTATTGAGGATGTTGGGCCTAACGGGTACTGGAATTTATATATTAAGTGTTCCCTCGTCGACATGTTTATCCTGGCTCTAAGTCTGAGCACAACCCGAAGCAGCATTTCTATCTGCTCCCGGGTCGTTGTGTCCCTTCGTTGTGGCACTGGCAACGTCACCTGGCTGTGACGAGCGCCTGCCATTTGGCTACAAGTGTGGAGTAAAGTCCTGGTGCTTGAATAGGCCCGAGGAGCCTGTTAGCATTTGTCCTCGGTCCCTCCAGCTGGGTTGGATTAATGCTCAAGTCTTTTCAAATAATGACATTTGCTTTTCATATAAAATAACTTTGCAATTATCCAATTGCGTAAGTAGAACTGTAACAGCTTCTCCTTTGTGCTACAAGAGCAGCCCAATCAATTCTGTGTTTGGAATTGTGGAAGAAGCTTCAGAAGGTCGTCAGCAAGCCATGACAGCACCAGGAAATGCCCAGTGACTGCAGGTACTTAAAATATTCCACAAAGGCATGGCTTTCTAAAAGTGTAATTAGCAGGCACATTTAAATGTTTCAACAGATATTTACAACAAACCCAAATGAATCACAGGAAAATTGACTGACCAGGAATAACATCATGGAAGGTAATGAAAATGTTTCTGAAACAGCAGGTTTCTTACTGACAATTTGATGTTCATTTAAACAAAACTATTCCCTTCTTTGGTCTGCTTGTTCCTTAACTTGCTGCAGCACCATGATCCCGTAGAAAGCACTTTATCCCCTATTTCAAAAGTTTACTGGCCTCACTCATACTGTTGTTTTTCTTGAACAAGTGTAAATTTCAAGTCAAAGAAGGAACGCTTGAGGTGTCTGAAAGCAAATCCGTGGCATCCAAGACTCCTGCACGTGTATTTTGTAAAATATACTGCAGTGTCAGCAACAGAACACACAACTTGCCAAAACATTTCAGACCAACAGCTTCAACGTCTTTGGCACTTGCGCAACTGAGCTTCCAGTTGAATTTAAGAATGGAGCAAAGACCTCAGCTGAAAGGCGCCCCGTCCCTTTGAAGTATTTATTGGTGGCCAAAGCAGCAAGGCAAGGTCGGGCCTGCGGGGAGCAGCAGCAAGGGGCTCCGGAAGGCCCGGAGCGGCCTCGAGGCGTTCAGTGTCACCCCGGGGATGGCCTGGGGCTGCTGGGACCTTCCTGCTGGCCGGGACGTTGCCACCCCAGGCCAGAGCTGCCACCACCCCGCAAGGCTGCACGCGCGGAGCCCGGCCCTGCGCTGCTGCACAGAGCGTGGCCGCCTGCCCTGGCCACGGCCACGGCCTGCAGGGCTCTGCGCTGCAAAAGCAGCGGCCTGAAGAGCCCGAGGCCCCTGCTGAGCCCTTCTGATGGAGCGTGTAATGGTGGAGCTAACAGGGATCCGTATTGTGTAGCCACGGGGTACCCAGGCAAACGCACCGCGAGCAGAATGTAGCAGCCTAAAGCCAAGCTTTAACGCAGGTAGGTGGACGTAAACGTGGTCTAAGGTGAGAGAGATGTTTACACCAGATGCTCTCCACGTGCATCTGTCCTTCCCTTCTTATCAGCATTATGACTATGTGCAGCTGGCCGAGGCGTCCCAGCGGGGACTGTCCGTAGCATTACGAGGAGCCGCAGCGGTGCCAGTCCTGTGAAACAAGAACAGTATCTCCCCATCACCAGAACAAATTGTTTCTGATTGCTAATGCTGCAATGGAAGTGACTCTATGATGAAGAAGATTTTACTGTGTGTAATATTTGGAACTACAAGTTTGTGTTTCTTGTTTAACTCCCTTCTCTTTTGCAAAAGAAAAATTACATGTTTCTGTGGGTGAATCTGTATTGAATGACAGAAGGAAAGGGTAACAGCAATGATCTATCTTGCTTATTTGTTGTGGAAAAAAATGTATTTGTATTAAAGAAATGACCCAAAAGAAGTGATCTACGTAGTGATCTCTGTTTGTGATTTCGCCTCAGCCTCCTTGGAATATTGGCTACATGACCCTGTCCCCAGGGCAGCCCCGGTGTCCTCGCGGTGGCGCTGAGGTCCCCACGGCGGATGTTGTCCCCAGGGAGCTCTGCTTCCCACCCGAGGTGTCCGTCTGGCTCATGCCATGGAGGTGCCATCTCAGGGACACTCGGAGAGCTGAAACCTGCACTAGGTTCATCCCTGCACTCCTTCTGTTTTTAAACAGCTCGAGGGTAATTACACAAAAACACAATAATCTGCACTCAGTGCCCAGCGAACGAAGACAGCGGACAGGATCAAACTCATGTCTAAGTGTGGTAACTACATGGGTCTGTCTGTCTGCAGAATTACCATATAGTTAAAATGCCTTTAGACTTACGTATCTTAATTTGAAGATATAAGGCTATAGTGAAGTAATGTTGTGTATGGATTATTATATCATGTATGCATATGTTTCACATATGAACACGTTCTAGCATCTTTAATAATGGTTCACGAATGGCACAGGAGTGAAAAGTACCAAGATAGAGATGGCTTTTATTTTAATAAACTCAGAAAAAAAGACACCAGCAAAAGCTTAATGGCTCTCAAAAGTAAGATTGCTACTTACAGGAAGCCCGAAGAATGCAGTCAAAACAAATCAGTCTAGAAGAAAGTTCAGGCTTTAGAGAATCCCCTTCAAGTGCCACTTTACCTCTAGAGTTTATTACATTTCAAGAGCTGGGGAAAAATCAGAAGAATGCATTAAAAAAGTATAGGTAAGATAGAGCTTTTACGCTGGGAAGAATGGTCTGGCAAAATTCGCATCATGAAAATTAAAAAGTAAGTAAACAAAACAAAAAAAATCAAGCTCTGGGTTTCTTCTTTCCCCTTGCCACCATTGGTGTTCTGGAACAGAACAAAACGAAACACGCTTTTCTGGCGAGCTGGTCTTGTGCATTATCAGCTTCAGGCCACTTTGTAAACTGAAACAAACACTGGCAGCTACACAGCAATTATTCCTATAATTCAATCAGAATTAGTTCACACCCAGATGCTGTTTTTTTCCCTAGCTATGCACCAGATCAACAAGGTACTCAAATAATTTAAAATATTTCAACTATCCCTTCAACCACATAAGTAACACTCAGACACACACACATATCTATATATACTTACCCTGAGAAGGCTTTCTTGTACACCACACAGAGCTGTATGGAGGCTCAGGCACATGAAGATCATCGATGGGGAACAGTTATTCCCAGGCTTATTAGTAGAGATTCCAGCTGCTCCATCTGCCCCCAACACCCACGAGCTGTTAGTAACTACGTGAACACCCGTTTTCACCCAAGAGGAAGGTGTTTCCTGGGGCCGAGGTGTCTGCTCTGTGACAGGCAGCTCTGCCCCCCTCCCAAAACCACGTGTGCCTCGAGGTACCCCCAGCCCTGCCACGAGCAATGGGCAGAGCTGGCACCAGCTCAGGCTGCTGTTTCCAGGCTACCATTTGCACAGTAAGTGACACTCGTGTTCTCCCCCGAAAGGAAAAGGCAAAGGCTTCCGACCAAAAGTTATTTCTGCCCGAATCATGCGTGAATGCTCTACAGCCACAAAGAGGCAGTGCTCCATTCTGCATTTCCAGATACAAACTGTGATTTCCTCCTCAGCTTAGGAGCCTGCAGCCTGACAGGTATAATGTGAGAGCTTATTAAAATAGGTTCCTTACAGTTCCCTCAGCTGCTTTGAATCCGCTGGCGCCCATTAAGCCATGTCTTCTGCTTTACTCAGTTCTTCTTTAGATTCCACATCTGCCACCTCCGGGTGGCTGCAAGCAGCATCCTTAGCCGAGAACTTCCTCATTTTAATGTTTGGCAGTTTCTTCAGGTCACCATCCCATTCTCTTCAAGGAAAAAGAGTTGTTACAGAAGGCAGTCACCAAGGTGGACAGCAAGAGAGCAGCAGAGCTGCTTCCCCTCTTCTCCAGCAACACCAACCCAAGGTGAGGCTGGTTTTCTAAGGTTCAGTCTCAGTTCTGCTGCAGCGCACGTGGCCTCCAACGTTTGCACCTTGTGCACTCACTGCAGCAGCTCTCATTTCTAACTTCTATGAAGAATTTAAATTCTCTCAGATTTGACATTTTGGTTAAAAAAAATATATATATAACTGACTTTATTCACACCCATTATTTCTATCCTCTTTAGGCCAGCTGAGTTAGGCTGGACAGACTAAAGCCCCCGTCTTGCACGCAATAAGAAAGCAGCTTGGCTACGTTTCCTTATCTGCACGCTAGCCCTCTGCTCTGGGTTATGGTTAACTGCTGGCATCTCATCTAAGTGACTTCAGGAATACACAAAGCACTAGGGAAGTTTAAGTCACACGCTGAGTATCATCTCACTTGGAAAGGCTGCATAAAGGCAGAAGGAATCACCCAGATACCACGTCAGCTCTAGGACTCCGTTAATACTTGCTGATCACAAGGTGCTGAGGGTAACGTTTCTCAGGGGCAAGGACAATATTTACCGATTATGAGATGGACAGACTTGTTTGGGCTCTACCAAGATGATAAAACAAGAACATTTCCAGCAGGTGTCTCAGTACAAAAAGTCAATGGGATGTTCATAACCCCGCAGCAGCCAGAGGCCTCTGCTCCGGGGTTTGTGCCTTCATCTCAGCACCCTGTGGCAGCGCCCGTGGTCAGTGTTCAGCACCCTGTGCCCTCAGCACTCAGGCCTTTCCTCTCTCCTTTTAAGCATCATCTCATTCACTAGAGCTGCCAGCAAGAGGGGGCACCGATTCCAGCAGCAGGGCCTGCCAGTTCCTGCAGGAACCAGGTGCAAGCCCCTTAGCTTCAGCTTCCTTAAGTGGATATAAATTGTCAGTTCTCTCGTCATTTTTATTCAGTCTATAAACACAAGCACTGCTGCAGACTGCGTTACACCTGGGCTTGGCGCTCGTATATTAGAAGGCTAGAAAATTTAATAGGCATTTTTACCCATATCATGGTAAGGCCTGACTATATTTATATAGTCAGTTACTTATATAACTTAAGTCACCATATCCTATGACTATGATTACCATCTGAAACTTCATTTATGAAGATCTTCTTATGTTAAATAGAAAATCTTACATTAAATGCATCTTTTAAATATCAACAGTGAATCCTTTCAGTAAAAATCAGTTAGCTGGAGCTGACAATTAGATAAAAATAGTCTCTAAAAATAGCAAAAATAAAACAACTTAAGTTACAGAAGTAGAATAATAACTAAGTTCTCTAAAATAGTGGATAGTTTATCTGTCATCAGCCAGTTCAAGCTGTAACAGCTAAGAAATGTCAAAAATAGAAATAGTGCCCAAAACACCAAAATATCGTATGTAAACTGCTTTTTCAAACAAGAAAGTTCTTCATAATTCTTACACAAATTATTTTTATTAAAAGCAAGAAGTTATAACATGCCAACCTGAGAAATAGAGCTCTGCACAATGATGAAGTAACGACAATGAAAGCTTACCTGAAAAGCCTGAGGTGCTTGGTGTTGACAAGGTCTGGGATTTCTAAAAGGAGTGAAATTAAATCCCGTTAGGTTTGTGGTGTCATCCAAAGCCTCCTTCCAAAGGCAGAAACGTGAACAACAGGGCTGCACGTTTTATTTCAGAGAGACAAAAACGATGAGGATTTGTGTTAAGGGAAGTCCAAGACAGAAAGACCTCTCACTGCTTAAGTAAAGGCGGGAACACCCTTGTGGTGCTCAATAGTATTTCCTTCGCATGCACAAGCTCCTTTTTTTTTTTTTTTTGCAGCTACTTGTGAAATTTTTCCTTTGCTTTAAAAACATTAAGGTGCAGGAAGGTGGTACCTCACCTAGAGATGGAAAAAGGACCTTTCTCAGTGCTGGGATGGAGCAGCCTGGGCCCACACGGCCCTGCTGCTGTGCCAGGCGTGGACTAGATGGCCTCAAGAGAGAATAAAGGGGCAGAGGGGCTGATGCCACCCCCAGAGCCCTCCTGGAGCTCTGCTTGCAGCACGTCCTGGGACCTCTTGCTGAGATGGTTTCTGTCCTTCCAGAGCACAGGCTGCTGTGGCACTAACCTCATCTCTCTCCCAAAGCACCAGGATTTGCACGGATTTACCCAAAGCCAAACGTGGACTGAAATGTTTCTGGCCTAGAACAGATTTTAAGCAGCACGATCATGTCCATTAGAACTGCCAGAGAGAGCAACACCTGCAGTCAGCTCAACAGATGGTATCGGAGGCTGAAGTTGACCAGGGAAAAGGATGTTGGAAGCCCTGGCTGCTCTTTACAAAAGAGCAATTCAGTTGCACGATAGTGACTGCTGCAGAAAACGGCAGGTAGCAAACAGCACAGAACAGCACGTTAGCAGATACATCACAGATGTATCATTTACAATTAAAATGAACTTCCTTACATCCTGAAACCTCAAGAATCAACTAATGAAACGGGGACGTTTAGCTTTAAAGGTCATTTTACACTAGGCTTCTGTGAGAACACGAAAGGTAATTAAAAACCAAGCACCAAAAATGCAGGATTTTTTTGATGAAGGAGTTGTGATGCATTTCAGCTGAGCTCCATGCTGAGCTCCAAAGGCACACACAGCTTTTCAACGCCCAGGATTCCCTCTCAAGAGCTTTGCTACGAAGACCATTAAAAAATGCAAATGACAACGTCATGAAGAAAAACAGCAGTAAAATTAGTTTAACTACACTTAAGAAGTAAGGAAGTGGTAAGTAACTGCCAGCTCCACAGCCTCACAGATAGACTGTACGTTCCCCTATTGGTAATATACATTTTCTAAATGACTACAATCCACTATGCATTTGCATAACAGTCAGTAAAGAAGTTATCTCCATTGCCATTTGCATCCATCTGTTGCCATACACAATCTTTAAAGCTTTCTTGAATGCAGACAATCCATACCATGCAGTCGCTTCATAACAATATGTATGCAAGGAAGAAGCAACTCTGCTCAAGAAGAGAAATAAATCCCTCAGTGCTGGAGTCAGTTAGAAGAGCTCCCCACACTGAGGCTTCCAGCAGTAACTAGCAAGAGCAGAAAAGCAGTTTCCAGCTGATTTCCATTTATCCCCCATCCCTAATTACAGTATTTAGCAGCAACTATTATCTGAATGAATAGCACGTCCTAGACAGAGAGCAAAACCTGCAGCAGCTGCAGTAACAATAAATGATTTGGGTATTTAATATGTGAAGTTGCACCCTGCTCTCTGAAGGCTTTACTTACTAATACTATTACAGCTTCAGAATATACATTGTCCTTTATTTGTGTTGTGCTTGTATATCTGGCATCTTTTTATCTAGTCCTATTGTTTTTGACATTTTTTCTACAAAGCAATAGGAAAAAGTGGACAAGTTAAAATGTAAAAGCAAAACCAGAAAGGAGATCTGCTACCACGGGGCAGTTTTGAGGCAATCACCTCTCTCTTCCCATGATGTCCCCCCACACTTTTAAGAAAACAAGATGAATTTCCATCATGAATGAAGTCATACAGAGCTCATCTGCAGTACATGAAAGTATTAAGTACCCCTAGGAACATTTTTAGAGACATCCATTCTTTTTTATTGGCAAAATCCATTTGGGAAGGAGGGGGGAGAAGAAATACAACATAACACAAATTTTCTTTGTTAAATCTCACTTCAGGTTCAAAAAATCTATACTGCTACCTGCACTAAAGAAACAATGCAAGCAAAGATGCAGAACTGCCAGAAAGCAAAGCAGAAACATATGGGTCAGAACCTATGGGTGCATCTTTCTTTCCCTCCCCCAACTCATCCCTGAATCAACCCAAGAATTCCCAACCAGTTTCTTCTGAGGAGAGAAAAATAAAAATAAGGCCTAGAAATTAAGTTAGGTTATGGACTCGTGCACAAAGGGCAACGTTGTTGCTCCCGGATTATTTCCAATGCCTTTCTGTACCTATTCCATAGCCGTCGTAGAGCTGCCTTTCCCGTTCCATGGTCTGCCTGATGACTGCTTCCCGAGAGCCGTGCTGCCTTCCTTGTCTGCCTTTAATGCTGTTCTGCAGCTCTATCTGCTCCAACTCCGCGTTAAATCGACCCATGTAACTGAAAGAAATGAAACACATTTATGCTAGGAATAGTCATACAAGATTTTTGGAGAACAGAACCACTTTGATTGTGCTTATTTTCTGAATTTTGAGCAAGTCCAAGATACATTCCTCAGGTTTGAAATGTTATATTAATCTTCAAAAGTGTATTCAGTTCAAAACTGTATTCAGAAGCTGTATTCAGGACATACAGAAGCAGAAGGTGATCCACATCAACAATTATTTTTATACCTTTATTTTATTCAGACGTTTTAATCAGACTCCTACATGACCATAACTCACTTCCTGGAGACAACAATGTAAGATCTAAATTTTCCTGTCTTCTAAGCACTGAACTTCACGATCTCAGCAGGGTTTTTTAAAGTAAATTTCTTCCTTGGCATATATTATCCATCAGCTCCTAAAGAGAAAACTGAATACAAAAAAATGCAAGTTTTTTACTGCCTTTGCAGTTCCACCAGAGGTGACTAGCAGGTTAAAGGGTTCGCAAGCAGTACAGAAACACTCCCAAAGTTCTGAAAGGAAAGTGGAATGACAGGCCAGTGAATGAGGATTCAGGAAAGAGGATTCCTTATCCATCACATCACGTAGTTGGCAGGTCCAAAATGGTGGCAGGCCATAGTTACCTATTTTCTGCAGCACAAACAGCAAAACTGGCTCCGTACAAAGCAATTCTGTTATTTCCTGACCTAAAATTTCAACTGACCTGAGTACTGTTTAATTTTCTCATCATGTGTACACATCTTATTACATAACTGTCTGCAATCTTGACATAATTAACTACTTGATATTTTTAATAATAAATTTAAAATGCGCTCCTCCGATTCACTATTGTTTTAGAGATCTTATTTAAGAATCTTATTTTTTAAAGACAAATCAAGCTTTTTATCCCGTTTTTAGCCCCCATCTTACTTTTCAATTAGTTCACCAACATCCTTCTTCGTGTATTCAGTCTTACTGGGGTCAAGGTGACTTTGAAACCACTGTAACTTTTCTCCTACAAGAATAAAGTGAACATTAATGATTATATTATCACTCTGGAACATTTAAAGTTTTTCAAAGTTTTTGAAATGAACTCCCATTTCTCAGGATTTCTGAATAGCTTTACAGAAATTTGGCTCAATTATATGTTGTGCATCCGCTTTAAAGGTGGCTGGAACAGGAACATTTTAAAAGGTAATCATTGCAGATGTACTTTATGTTTTCCTTTAGTATTAAAAAAAAAAGAAAGAAAAAGCTATTACCTTTTTCCTTTAAACTATTGGAAGTTAGTGTCTAAAATATTACTGGTGTCCACTCTGGACAAGCTCTTTAAATGGCAGACATTCCTTTATGTTGCTCAGGGGTCATATACACTGCCAAAAATTAGGCTGTACTCTGAGCTCCAAGCTCGATCCTGCATAAGTAAATATGTCAAGTATCTTAACAACTCTGCAAAATCTACATTAAGATTATGGAGACAGATTATAGAAAAAAAATATAACTGGAGTTATAATTATAACTGGATTATAACTGGAGTACCTATGAAGTTGGTAAAACCTAAGTTCTGTGATAAAAAGTGCTGTGCTCAGTAACTGAAGTCCCCACTCACCAATGATACTCAGACGTAGAGCTTTTTCAGTCTTCAACCTAGCAAAGAAAAAACAAAATAATCAAGAATTAGTGCTGTGCAAATAATTTTCTTTCTCAAAAAATCATTCTGAGTCCAGGATAAAAGTCAAGATAAAATTTCAAATATAAATATTTGTCAAATTGTACACCTTATTCGAACTCATGCAAAAATTCATTTTTTTGGTTATAACTACCATCTGAGATTTTGTCTAATTTAAATACTTTCTTGTAAGAAATTAAATAGAAGATCAGGATGAGAACAGGATATAACACTTTTCTTAGAAAACAGCAAAAGGAGTTTTCATGAAAGACCTGTGTTGTAATAAAGAAATTCTTTTCATTGAGTATTTGTAATATTCTGCTGGTGTATTTGGTGAGTTTGTGCAAAGAATAAAAAGAACTATTACAGCCCTTTGCATCCTTGCAAATCAGACATGTCTTGTGGAAATATCATACTAAGAAATAATAATCTTTTAATAACTGAAGACAGCGGTGACTGAATATCTAAAGTTAATGTGCTAAGATACCAAAATTAACAGCTATACAAAAAAAAGATAAAGAAAATCCTTTTTTTTTTTCCCTCATTCCATCTCAATTCACAGGTAAGATACTAAAGTGTTTTGAATTCCAGGACATAGAAGTACCCTATTCAGTTTGGAATTAACTGCCCTACTGGGAGGTTCCTGGGGATTGAAAAGTCTCTAGCAGCGAATATGACGACTCCTGCATTTAGTCCTGGAGCTCTTAGATTCAGATGGCAGCAGAGAAAGTTGCTGGCCATCATTTAATTTCAAGAAAGCAGGGATAAAATAGTACATTATTGGGATAAGGGGGTCATTTGCCACTGGAAAAATACCTTAGCCATGCCTGGTTAAGTAAATATATCCAAACACTTGTGGTAAATTTAAGGGGTTTTTTTGGTCTTTAATAACAATTATTCACTGTTTGACAAAGAAAAAAATACCAGCAAAATTCAACACAACTGAGAACTAAAATCCTCCTTCAATATATTCCTTTTTTTTCTCTGTAGAATTTCACCAGTATTTTGCAATTAACTGAAGTAGCTCAAAGGTAGCTCAGAGATCTCTCACTTGTTGTAAAAACTTAGATCAAAAGATCTTAGTTTCTAGAAACTAACACGACAAAAAACAAACATGTCAGTTCATTACTACTGTGAGGATTAGTTTTTAGAAAAAGTATTTCTCCCTGTGCAGACAGTCCAAAAGCTGGCTGAAGATACCCAGGTATACAAAATAAAGGACCAAATGCATAGCACAAGTATGCTGCTGAGCAAGACTTCCACTCACTTCAATACATGCCCAAGTCTTTTTACTTCTAGATACTTCATCTGCAATCAGTATTTTAACACAAAATGTTCTAAAGTGGCACTGCCATCAGCACTTAGGCCACCTTTAGTCTTTTTAAAGAAGGATAATTTTTTTCCTGGTTCCACCAAAGGAATCTGCAAGAATCAATCTCAGAGTGTCACAGCTGCAAACAGCACCACTAGGAGCATAACCATTCAAGGGAGAGCAAAAGGTCAGATAAGGGGAAAAGTTAAAGAAAAGTTAGGGAAAAACAAATAATAATAAAAAATAAACAGCACCACAAGGAGACATTTAAAAGCTTCCACTTACTCCTAAGGGGTCACTTCACACCATATCAAGAAAATGTAAAAACCTCTTAGCCTTCCTTTATCAGAGCATGATAATATTAGACTGATATATTTACAATGAAAGCTCCTGAATAATTTACAATATACGCACAATAGAAAGATCATACTCTGTCTCAATAGAGAAGGAAAAAAAAATCAGAAATTCTGCAATAAATTGGCTTTAACTACCAAAAAACAGAGAGATTTTAACAGTTAGTCAGAACATGACTGGTGCTAATACATTGCTGCTAAGAGGGGTTGCAGGAATATTGCCCTGTGTTCTGGTTTCCTAAAACAAAAACAAAATGTTCCACTAGCACCAATGAACAAGTACCACCATCTCATACAAATTATTTAACAGTTTTCACTATTTTTATTTAACTGTTATTATTTAACAGAGCAAACTATTTGCCCAAGTGAATGAAGATTCACGTGTAGATTAAGAAAAAGCATCTTGGCCAGGATATAATGGAATTTGAGTGCTGATGGAGCCCTGAGGAGAACTGAGTGATATAGGCAAGAAAAAGAAGTGTGCTTCAAGTGAGGATATGGCCAGCTTTCCCAGATCAACTGCTCTGTCTGCTCTTCATATTGTCTTTCTGGGCAATGAGCTTCTTATTACTGTCATATTTCATACAGCAAACCTGCACTGAGGAGCAATAGGGCTATCAAAGACCTCAGCAGAATTCTCCTTCCTTTCTCCAAGTGTTGCATGAAGCATTGAAACTCCTTGAGGGATTTTCTTCCCTTTTTCTTATTGACTTTCAGGGGGAAGAGGAGAGGGATTTCTAAATATTTTATAGCTCAATAAAATTTCCTTTCTCATTTAACATATACAGGTGCTTTCTGAGTAGTGATTTCTTTTCATCCTCCAAATAAAAAAGTAAAAAAATGTTGTCCAAGCCTAAACTCTAAGTAGCCAAGAACACTGTATTTAGCAGGTACTAAGAAAAGTGTGTAGAGAACAAACAGTTCCTGGTATTTCTGCAAAGACACTTTCTAACTAAAAGCTGCTCAAGGGCTTTCTACACCCGAATGGTGTCTTTGTACTGAGCAGTCATCAACAGGCAAAATACGCACACCTTCAAGAAGTGGTTAGTGCAAGAACAAGATCCCAGCATCTTCTGTCAATTAATGTCACAGCTGAATTAAATTAGTTTCCTAGATTCACTTGATGACCCTGGTCCCCAGTTTAGAAGAAAAACTGAAGAATCAACTCCTCCATGCTACAAAAGGGTCTCTATGGAGAAATTAATCCCTCTACTCTGTGCTGGTGAAATCACAAAACGGGAATACTGCTTCCAGCTCTCCCAGCATTCAAGAAGTATTGCTTCCATGATATAAAAAGCATGGTGAAAAAAGTATCAGACCTGCAGATGAAACCAAGAGAGGAAATGCTGCAGGAATGATGAAGGAGCTTCTCCTCTTGACCACCAGAGAATGTACCAATCATACGGTCAAAAAGCAGGCTTGTCATTAGATATAGCAGTAATGTGGAAGAACACTTCTGTGAAATTTCAACTTTCACAAGTCATTTTCCATGCCAGGATCTTTTCATTCTTTTTCATGGAAAGGATGACCTCACTACTGCAATATTAATGCATTATGAGAGGAGTGATGCATTTGGTATTCTAGTTGGAACAAAACGGATTGGCCTATGCAACCTCTAATAGATGCTTTAAAGCCTTCTCTAAGGAGGAAAGAAAGGGTAGGTTAAATGGGAGAGGATTACTCAAGAGGGAGTACTTTGGTTTAAATTCTTACAAGAGGAACCAAAGGTAACACCCTCTCACCAAGGATATGTCAATACAGGTGCCTGTATCAGTGTAACTCGCCCACATGGACAAACACTAGAAGATTTCATGAAGTGGACCAAGTCATAAGGAGTAATCAATACCCCACTCCTTCACACAATAAGCTTTCTTATGCTTGTTTTTCTTCATGGTGAAGCCGCAGATGTAAGGGCTAAGAATCAAGTATGAGTCAACTATCTTTTTGTGACTAAGCTCTCTGAGTGGCAGTTATGAGGCAGGAAAAGAGAGATAAGTGCTGGAAGTTGTCAATTAAGCACCAGACAAAAAAAAAAAATCTTAGTTACACTCAATAGTAAGAGACCACAGGCAAAATATGAAGAAGCAGGGAAAACTTCTTGCACCTTAGGAGATTGTCCAGTCTGCCACACAGACTGCTTATAAACTCTTGCAGTAGCTCTGCTGAGGGTGCATGGTGTGACACTGCTGTGTTACTGAAGGATCTCTCTCCTGAAAGGGCAACTGAAGGGTTCCCCTCCTCTAAGAGCAGCCTTTCTCTGCACAGAGCTGAACGTTCAGCCCCAACCATGCCAGCTGGAACATCTCTGAGGAGCTATTGTCATTTTCTGGCTTTCAATAAAGCAGTTCTCCAATGTAACATCTTCAGATAAATGAAGACTCCAACCATGTACTAGTGTACTTTCATTAAAAAATGCTTTAAAGCTACTTTAGACAGCTCCTTCAGTAGCTTTCTAACCAAATAATTATACTGACTTTCAAAAGTGGTGTAATATGTGTACTAAAGTATGTGCACTGAGAAAGAAATCAAAAATCAGTGTTCTGCAGCTGTGTTCTCCAACCTAGTTTAGTGCTAGATAGAAATCAGCTGTGAGAAGCAGAAAAAAAAAGCAGAAAACTAACTTTGCCTTGGAACAGTAAGAAATCAGAAATCACCAAAGAGGTATTAATTATTCTGTTTCATTCAGAAGTCTCTCTTCTTTAGAAAAAGCACCATATGAAGATTTCTGGGCTTTCTTTTGTTTGATCTCAGCACAAGCAGGTAGAACCTAGATACCTAGTAAATCCTGGAGGAAAGTCAAACTAGATGACCAAGCTTCTCAGTCAAGTCAGTCCCTCTCTTTGAGTAGGGAGTTTCATGCAAGACACTCATGCACTCTGAACATTTCCAGAAGACTTATCGGCATCTGAGGAGTTTAGATCCACCCCACAGCACAGCAAAATATCTAGGGCAATGTTAGACAGTAAATGACATTAAATCAATAGCATTCGACATCCAGGTAATAAAAAGCAAAATGTTCTAATAAGAAACCTAACTTGCAAGGATTACACCAAAAGTAACCGGAAGAACTACATACTATGTGTAAATTCATTTAATAAGTCATTCATTTAATAAGCCTGTCAGATCACATGGTCTAGCAGTTATACAGACTTTTTGTTGTTCTTATTTTAAGGTTGTATCAGAATAATTGTAACCTACAGCACCCCAGCAACAACAACAAAAATCCATATGTTCTGTAAAAAGTCAGTCAACTCACTTTTCTTTCTTTTCCTGCTTGTGTGCTTCCCTTGCAAGCTGGGCAGCTTTTCTGCTATAAGGATGGACGACTTTTTTCTCTTGCTTTCCTCCTTTGTTTTTTAGTAATTTCGGCTGAAAGAAATAAAAAACGTTATCAGACACTAAAGGTAAGCAAAACATGTTAGAAGGAAGCTAGGAGCAAGCACCGTTGTAAAGACTTAAAAGCTCAATCAGCTTTTTGCAGAAAGCCCTTGACTTACTGTAGCAGCATATGAGCTCCACCACTTAGATCCTGCCCTCCTCAGTATGTCAAAGAGCAACAAAGTCTGTCCAAACTACTTACACACAGTCCATGCAGTAGCATAATTATCAGAAAACAAGTGCTCTTTGACAAATTATGCAGGAGCCACTCTCAGAGCTCCCTGCAGGCCTATATTGGGTATCTAGCATTACCTCTTCTAACTACTTTGCAGTAAATGTCCTCAATTTGCACAGGGATTTCTCACAAAGGTGATAGGTAATTTGTACAACATGTTTCATGTCTCCCTGCATCCCTGGTCCTCCCTCACACCAGGCAACAACTGGTTGTTTCTTTAGCGGCACAGGGAGGGGGCAGTAACTTGTGAATCTGAAATGCACTTTAACGCAAGTTTAAGCTTAGATTTTTTTGGGGGGAGGAGGAGTTTGAACGCTTGAAAAGTGAAAAGCCTTAAGAGAAAATCTGCAGCACGAGGCCTGTAAAATAAGTTTTAACGGGAGCCCACAGGGAATGTGGCTGAGCACACACGCGGGACTCAGGAATCAGTGAATCTGTGTTTCTGCCGCACGCGGTACTTGACGTTAAAGCCCGCGGAGGAGCAGAGCGCGCAGGACATGGAGCCGCGCGGAGAGGCCGCGGGC